AACAACTCCGTCCAACGTCTCGCAGTCCACGCAAGCTCTTGAAGCCACGGTGCGAGACCCAGCATTAGAGGAAGGAGGAGGACACCAGATCAGAAGCGAAGCACGCGACCAGCCAGGAGGAGGAGGAGGTGGAGGAGGAGGAGGAGGAGAAAGAGGAGGAGGAAGTGGAGGAGGAGGAAGAGGAGGAGGAGGAGGAGGAGCAAGAGGAGGAGGAGGAGGAGGAGGAGGAGGAGGAGGAGGAGGAGGAGGAGGAGCAGATCCGCACCCGACGGCCCCTAGGCGGGAAAGAGAGAGAGAGAGAGAGCGAGCGAGCGAGCGAGCGCAGAGCGGCGGCCCTGTAACCTTCATCGGGAATCTGCGGCGCGCAGGCGAAGGACACACTGACGGCGGCACCCCACACTGACGCCCCACACTGACGCCTCGGGCGGCAGGCTCCGCCACGGCCCGGCGATCACAGCAGCCCCAAGGCGGCGGCGAGAGCAGCGCTCGACCGCCGCAGCAGCTGCGGCAGCGGCCGCAGCCGCAGCAGCAGCAGCGGGGGACCCCGGGGCAGCCGCAGGGAAGGAGCGGCCGGCCGCCGCGGGGGACGCAGGACGGCAGGGCGGAGAGCTCCCCCGCAGAAAAAGTCGGAGGCGGAGAGAGAGGACCACCGCGGAGGCCTCCGGCGACCGCACCCGGACCCCGCGATGCCTCGGACCGAGCAGCATCGCAGCGGAGGGCCCCCCCCCCAGGCGACCCTCCCCGCACCGCGGGGGCCAGAGCGAGCGCCACGGCCGTCGAAGAGGGAGGGGGGGGGAGGCCGGGAGCGCGCACACGGGACGGGACAGAGGAGGGCCACGGCCGCCACGTGGGCCGAGGGCGCTCGCAGCCCCCCCGCCCCCCGCCCCCAAGCCACCCTGCCCTGGCCACCGATGGAAAGGCACTGAGAGGGAAGCGGGGCCCGACGAACAGCTTCTGCTGCAGGCCCCCCCTTTCACGTGCATCCGCACCGGAGGCACGACAGAGTGCCATCACGAAGCGTCGGACAGACACCACAACAATATCCCATGCCTGCGGACAGTCATGGCCAGGCCCCTGCAATTCAAGAAGATCAACGCAAAGCCAATGGCATCGATTCATGGCTTGACCCAAAACAAACTTCCAACCGTCAAACCCAATCAGGATCCCTGGGCGTTGGGCACGCCGAACCAGTTTAATCGATGCGGCCCAAAGGATCCAGCGAAACCAGCATCCTCCGAACGTACCAAATCGTCCGCAGAAAGAGTTCCAAACGCACGGCTCGAGCCCCGGAGCAAACAGGGGCATGGTAGACTTAGGTTCGTGAATTGCGACTACAGGCGGTCCACGACCACTTCGGGCCAAAAAACCCAAACCAGCAAAAAACACCAGGAAATCTTGAAACCAAAACCTGGGGAGGTCGACATCCTGAAAAAAACTCAAACACCGAACCTGCGAAAAACTCAAACCCACAAAAACATACGAAAAAACCTGAAGCTCAAACCTGGGAAAAACTCAAACCAAACAAAAACTCCTGAAAATCTCTAAGCCGAAACCTGGGAAAAACTGTGGAAAAAACTGTGGAAACAACTCTGGAACAAAAAAAAACATTAAAAACTTTTATAAATATATATATATATATATATAAAGAAAAAACTGGGAAAACTCTGGAAAAACTCTGGGAAAAACTCTAAACGACTGAAAACTCTAAAACAACTCTTGAAAAACTCCTGGAAAAAATATAAACGACTGAAAACTCAAAAAAAAAAAAAAAAAAAAAAAAAAAAAAAAAAAAAAAAAACTCTGGAACAACTACGGAAAAACTCTGGAAAAACTCTGGCAAAACTGTTTAAAAAAAACTCTAGAAAAACCTTCCGGGTTTGAATTTGTTCTGGGTTTCCGCTTCAAGTTTTTTCTAAGTTTTTGTAAGGTTTGAGTTTTTCCCAGGTTTCGGCTTCAAGATTTCCTGTAATTTCTTCTGTGTGTGAGTTTTCCCCAGGTTTTGTGTTTGAGATTCTCTCAGGTTGTCTTGGATTTGGAGTTTCCCATTCTTTAGCATTGTTTTGGAGTTTGAGTTTCCGGCCGAAGGTGTTTTGAAGATTTGGGCAGGGTTTCCGCTGGACCGCCTGTAGTCAATTCACGAACCTAATGGTAGACGGATCTCCCTGCCGCACACCACGCAACAGCAGAATACTCCGATGCCTATTACAACCAAAACAAGCGATCCCAGAGTTCTCAGATGAAGCGCCTCAAAGAAACCAGTAACCCAGAGGTTGCCCTGCATCAAGACCAGAACCTGCAGCAACCAGGAGATGGCCATGCGCGGAAACGCAGCCGCAAAATCAATCAGAAACACACCCGCCAGATCCCTCCCGAGCATACACTGCTGAAGCCCCCAAACCTCAGCTTCCAGAAAATGGTCAGTCATAGACCGCCTCTTCAGACACGCCTGTGCCTTGGCAACCGTCTCCCGAACTGCTCGTTCAAGTCTCCACGAGAAGACAAGAGACATGATCTTCCAATCCGCATCAGAGATGGCAAGTGGTCGGAAGGCACCAGGAGAACGCCAGGGAGCACAGGTGAGCTCGGATGGATGGCCGCCCATCGCATGAATGACCAGCAACACTCCACGCATCGTGTGTGGCATCCCACTTCCACGGCTCGCCGTGATGTGGCAGCACATACCAGGGAGAATGGCGAGCGGGAGAGCAGAGTTCTGACAAGAGCAGACGATGTCACCCGGACCAGGCATCGAAGCCGTCCGCCCCAGTACCCCATCTCGAAGTCCTCAAAGTCCAGTCCACTGCTCTTCAGAAGTCCCCCATACAGTCGGGGGCTTGACCTTTTCCCATAAGTTCAACTTCGATTCCCCATGGAAAACCTAAGGAAAACCAGAGGCGAACTGCAAAACAGCTGAGGAACATCGAGCCCCTCCCCAACGAAAAGCGCTCCTTCTTAGGGCCCCGACTGTAGACGAGGCCACCCGGACCAGGCATCGAAGCCGCCCGGCCCCGAACCCTATTCTCGAAGGCCTCTCAAAGTCCAGGCCGCTGCTCTTCCGAGATCCCCCCCAATGCAGGCAGAAGGTGGGCCTCCGGGTCACTCCTCACTCCTCCTCCTCCTCCCTCCTCCTCCCTCCTCCTCCTCTCCCTCCTCCTCCTCCTCCTCCTCCTCCTCCTCCTCCTCCTCCTCCTCCTCCTCCTCCTCCTCCTCCTCCTCCTCCTCGTCCTCCTCCTCCTCCGCTTCCCAATGTCTAGCAAGGTTTGCCCCAGCTTGAGCAGTGGTCTCACAGCGGATCCTCAGATAGGCTCTGGATCGCCGCGGCCGAGATTCGTTGATGCATAGGCCTGGAGAGCTCCTAACGACGCTGAAGCCTGTATCTCAAACTCAACTTCACCTCAGCCTCTGTCTCCTGATATGTTTCAGGCTACAGCTCCGATACCCGAGAGTTCTGCAAAGACTGAATGCGGTCGCATAGCACTGGTAGCGAGTGGCAGGTGCAAGCCTCAAAGTCAAAGAAGCAGGCTAGAGCAGGGCAACACAGAGTGGAATTTCGTACACGCTCAACGCTCTGCGTACGCACGTCACACAAGGCAGCAAGAGCAAAGCGGATGTTCTCGTCTATCGTGGTTACCGTGCCAGGCGTTTGCGCATCTGCTCACAAGTCTCCCAACTACGCTGGTTCGCAAGAGCGAGCTGATCAAAGATCGGGGTAGTGCGGTCCATATATCAGCCAACAGAAATCCAAGTCAGCGTGAAAAATAAAATTGGCCCCGAGCAAGGAGGGAACATTCGGGAACTCCGATGGGCAAAACTGGCAAAATGTCGCCGTCACAGGGATCTGATCTGAGACATTCCGAATCAGTGTAGCGTTGCAAATCACCGCAAAAACCACTGAGAAGTCAGATACCACCGCTGTCGGGTCAGCAAGATACAAACGATCAAGACGGCTTACATGGAGCATCCCCCCTCCTTGCGACTCCCGTCGGGTTGGATCAGGCTGGTGGATGCCTGTCAATCGCGGGAGAATATCAGAGAACAGCTCATGGCGGTAATGGTCCCCAGGTCATCCAGAGCCGTTCCCACTGCCTCCCAGACTCTTCCAAAGAGTATGTAGAGCCGCCCCAAACCACCACAAGAGCATTATGATATTTAGCCAGAGCATCCATGATATGCCGAAGAGATCGAGTAAAAACCCAAGTAGGCTCCCACGAGGTGGGAAGATGAGCTTGCAATACCCAGAGAGAACCATACCACCTGCTACTTCGTGTTAGCGAAATACGCAGATGGTGACGATGATGATAATGTTGATGCTGATGGTGGTGCTGAAGATGATGATGATGATGATGCTGATGATCCTGATGATGCTGATGATGATGACAACCACCTGATGATGACAGTGGTGATAAGTATGATGATAACGACGACGAGGATGATGATGATGGTGATTGCGATGGTGATGGTGATGGTAATGGTAATGGTAATGGTAATGGTAATGGTAATGGTAATGGTAATGGTAATGGTAATGGTAATGGCAATGGTAATGGTAATGGTAATGGTAATGGTAATGGTAATGGTAGTGGTAATGGTAATGGTAATGGTGATGGTGATGGTGATGGTGATGGTGATGGCGATGGCGATGGCGATGGTGATGGCGATGGTGATGGTGATGGTGATGGTGATGGTGATGGTGATGGTGATGGTGATGGTGATGGTGTTGGTGCTGGTGCTGGTGATGGTGATGGTGATGGTGATGGTGATGGTGTTGGTGCTGGTGATGGTGATGGTGATGGTGATGGTAATGGTGATGATGATGCTGATGATGACGATGGTGATGATGATAATGATGATGGTGATGATGATGACGATAGTGATGATGATGGTGATGTTGATGGTGGCAAGAAAGACGAGCACGAGGACCGGAGGACGACGAGGGCGAGGATGACGAGGAGGACGGGGCCGAGGAGCATAAGCAGCAGGATAGAGGACGGGAGAAGGGGATCCTCGTCAACTTCAAGCTCTTGGATGTGGTTCATGACCTTGATCAGGCCCTTTACGTCGTCATCCTTAGGCCTCAGGAAACCAGCAGGGAGCCGACGGCGAATTGTGCTGAAGCAGCGATGCCCTGAAGCAGGCCTGGGCCCCTCGTCAACACCGCACTCAGACCGTCGCAGACAGAGCCCTTCCCAGCCTCACGGCACTCAAAGATGCGCTGCCGCTGACGAGGCGCGCGCGCGCGCGAGCGCATGTGCACCAAGGACGCCGATGCAGGATGCGGGAGGACAGGAGGAGGAGAGGCAGAGGGAGGAAAGAGCAAGGAGAAACGCGGAGAGAGAAGGCGGGAAGCAGGGAAAGAAGAGTGAGGAGAACAGGGTGGGAGAGGCGAAGACGAGGGGCAAACAAGGAAATTCTTTGGCCCACGGACCAAGAGCGTGCTAAAATCAAGGGCACGAAACTTTCATTGATCTGGAAGTTTCTAGTTCGCACGCGCGTGGCGGCCCTGGGGGTCCCCAGAGGACGCCAGAACTCCCCGGCGCGGCCTGAAAAGCCATCAGGCGGCGCCACAATCACCAACAAGCCCTTCAGGACGCCTCCCACACTGCCAACTGGGCTTGACAGATCCCCGCATATCCTCCAATTTGCTTCCGCGAGGCACCATGACCGTGCAAGACTGCTCCAATTGGTAGCGGAGCTTTCCAAGAGCGCCCCCAAGAGGCCAAAATCAATCAAAAGCCGATGGTGCTTCAATGAATTTGGATTTCTCGCCGATTCGCTCCCGATGACCGTATGAGGCCCCCACATGTTTCCAGGATCGCCCGAACCAGCTTCGAGGGGACCCCAGAAAGGCTCCAAGAGGGCCAAGATGACATCCAAGTGCACCACCGGAGCGGCCGAAGAGGGCTCCAAGAAGGGCACATGAGTGCTCAAGAGTGGCCCAAGAGCGGCAACCCGCCGACCCCTGTTTGCTAGGAGTGAAAGGACGTATGAGACAGTTGGCTGTCCCCCTTCCTCCTCCTCCTCCTCCTCCTCCTCCTCCTCCTCCTCCTCCTCCTCCTCCTCCTCCTCCTCCGCCTCCTCCTCCGCCTCCGCCTCCGCCTCCGCGTCGCCTCCGCCTCCGCCACCGCCTCCGCCTCCGCCTCCACCTCCACCTCCTCATCCTCCTCCTCTTCCTCCTCTTCCCCTCCTCCTCCTCCTCCCCCTCCTGCTCCTCCTCCTCCTCCTCGTCCTCCCCCTCCTCCTCCTCCTCCTCCTCCTCCTCCTCCTCCTCCTCCTCCTCCTCCTCCTCCTCCCCCTCCATCCCTTATGGCTAACTTCTCACTGTCGCATCCCGAGGCAAGTTTTTAGGGCGGGCCTGGGCGCTTCGCCCGAGGCGTCTGACCACTTATGGCTTCGAAGCTCGAAAGATGGCAACAGTTTCACACTGGAGGGCTTTAAACATGGCTTTAAACTTGAACATGGCTTCAAACTTGAACATGGCTTCAAACATGGTAGCAGCTTCACACATGAACTTTGAAGCTCTAACCATGGTCTTAAACTGAAGGGCGGGTGGTCTTCAGAATGTGGCTCTCGCCTTAGCGCCGCGCATAATCGTTGTAAAGAATCACAAGAGCTTCGCGGATGGAGGGCGGATCGTGTTCAAGATGTGGCTCTCGCCGCAGCGCCGCGCACCTTCGTCTTCAAAAATTGGAAGAGCTTCACGGATTGAGGGCGGGTGGTCTTCAAAATGTGGCCCTCGCCTTAGCGCCGCGCATAATCGTTGTAAGAAGTTACGAGACCTTCACGGATGGAAGGCGGATCGTGTTCAAGATGTGGCTCTCGCCGTGGCGCCGCGCACCTTCGTCTTCAAAAATTGGAAGAGCTTCACGGATTGAGGGCGGGTGGTTTTCAAAATGTGGCTCTCGCTTTAGCGCCGCGCACATCCGTTTTCAAAAATTGCAAAAGTTTCACGGTTTGAGGGCGGGTCGTGTTCAAAATGTGGCTCTCGCCGCAGCGCCGCGCACCTTCTTCTTCAAAAATTGGAAGAGCTTCACGGATTGAGGGCGGGTGGATTTCAAAATGTGGCCCTCGCCTTAGCGCCGCGTATAACCGTAAATTACGAGACCTTCACGGATGGAAGGCGGATCGTGTTCAAGATGTGGCTTTCGCCGTGGCACCGCGCACCTTCGTCTTCAAAAATTGGAAGAGCTTCACGGATTGAGGGCGGGTGGTTTTCAAAATGTGGCCCTCGCCTTAGCGCCGCGCACATCCGTTTTCAAAAATTGCAAAAGTTTCACGGTTTGAGGCCGGGTCGTGTTCAAAATGTGGCTCTCGCCGCAGCGCCGCGCACCTTCGTCTTCAAAAATTGGAAGAGCTTCACGGATTGAGGGCGGGTGGCTTTCAAAAGGTGGTTCTCGCCTTAGCGCCGCGCACATCCGTTTTCAAAAATTGCAACAGTTTCACGGTTTGAGGGCGGGTCGTGTTCAAAATGTGGCTCTCGCCGCAGCGCCGCGCACCTTCGTCTTCAAAAATTGGAAGAGCTTCTCGGATTGAGGGCGGGTGGCTTTCAAAATGTGGCTCTCGCCTCCGCGCCGCGCACATCCGTTTTCAAAAATTGTAAAAGCTTCACGGTTTGAGGGCGGGTCATGTTCAAAATGTGGCTCTCGCCGCAGCGCCGCGCACATTCGTTTCAAAAAATCGCAAGAGCTTCACGGATTGAGGGCGGGTCGTGTTCAAGATGTGGCTCTCGCCTTCGCGCGGCGCGCATTCGTTTTCGAAAGTTGCAAGAGCTTCACTGATTGAGGGCGGCTCCTTTTCAAGATGTGGCTCTCACCTTAGCGCCGCGCACATTCGTTTAAACAAATCGCAAGAAATCCACGGATTCCCATGACCAACGTACCAGACATGACGCGCTAGAAGGATTCACGATTACGCGGGTGCAATAATTATGATGGCTCGCGGTGTGGAAGTCTCAAAAGTGGCGTTCTGGTGCGACTCCAGATCGTCAGGACGCAGCAGTCAGGTTGATCCGTGGCGTGGAACTCCCGAGAACAGTGTCTTGGCACTCTTCAAGGTCGTGAGCGGATGTGCTCCAACGACGCGGCTCGATCAATGGAGAAGAACCGTCGTAGGGGCCTATGAAAAGGGAGCTCGGAGGGAGGGTAAATTCCAACATCGTTGATGGTTCTTGGGTTTACACTGACCCTCCTCCTCCTCCTCCTCCTCCACCTTATCCTCCCCCTCATCCTCCGCCTCCGCATCCGCCCCCGCCTCCGTCTCCGTCTCCTCCTCCTCCTCCTCCTCTTCCTCCTCCGCCACCTCCTCCTCCTCCGCCTCCGCCTCCGCCTTCGTCGCCTCCTCCTTCTCCTCCTCCTATCCATATTATTAGCAGCAGTAGTCTTTGCATTAGTAGTAGTAATAATACTGCTACAAATACTACTACTACTACTACTACTACTACTACTACTACTACTACTACTACTACTACTACTACTACGACTACTACTACTACTACTACTACTACTACTACTACTACTACTACTACTACTACTACTACTACTACTACTACTACTACTACTACCACCACTACTACTACTACTACTACTACTACTAC